CCCCAAAACCCCAAAACCCCAAAACCCCAAAACCCCTACTTCACCATTGTAATTGAATTTAAGTTAGAATTTTCCAAATTACTATCTTCTTTTTTAATACTGTTAATTTAAAAACAAAGATGTCGTATGCACAGTTTTATAGTGAACAAAAATAAATTGGATTAAGTTAATGAAATTTGTAAACAATAAGATTCTTATTCAGTTTCTTCACTATCCTCTTCTTCTGCTTCAATTTCTCTAATATGCAAGGTAGCCGTAGGGCATAAGCCTTCTTCTTCAAGAGTTCTTTCTCTATTGTCTAATACTCTAAATCTATTCTCAATCACTCCAATCTCAAATATGAGAGTATCTGATTCAAACTCAATCTCATCTAACCTTGATTGCACGAAATCATAAAGAATGCTCACAGTGTCTGTAGGATTAAATTTTCTAACAAAAGAATTTCCATTCTCTGGCTCTCTAAACTTAATAGTAGTTCCTTCTTCTGGTTCTGGTGGTAGCTCATTCTTCTTTTTCTCTGCTAATTCTTTAGCAATAATCTCAAGTTGAGCAGCCTCTTGCTCTTTCTGGAGTTTCTCTTCCTGCTTTCTTCTTTCTTTCTCCTCCTCTTCCTTTCTTTTCACAAGTCTTATCCTATCTTCCATCTGTGCTTTCTCATACTCTCTCTTTTGTTGTTCTCTGATCATTCTATCTTCTTCTTGTTTGAAATCAATAAATCTGTCATCTTGGTAAATATCAGGGCCTGTTGGTTGATGATCAAAGCTGCTCAGTAAAACTTCTAGAAGAACCTTGAAAGTCCCGAAGGAACTGAGTAGGAAATCTCTGAATCTCTCGAGATCAACGTTGTCGTCAGCAAAACTTTCTACAACATCATAATCTGAATCAGACTTCGCCATTATAACTCCAAAATGAGGGATTTCTCTGATATTGAATTCCAATGAAAGGGCATTTGCTTCAGGGTTTCCAGATTCTATTCCAAAGACGAAATAGTTTTCGCTAATAATTTTCAAGGTATCTTCGTCATGAAATACTGCTTTAAGGATATCTTTGGAGTCATCCGTCATTAAGTCTGCCATGATAAACAAGATCGGCTTTCTGTTGGCATATGCATTAAATACAGCATTTCTGAAAGTAGTTTTTTCCCAGTGAATTGCTAAATGTCTTCTATTTGCTCGATCATCAGAAATAATATCATTCTCCTTCAAATCTTCATAAAATTTCTCGCTGGGGTAATCACTCCCGAACATGCCACATAACCCTCGCTTAATAAAATCAGGAATGATGTATTTTATTCCTCTACCTATTGGATAAATGGTGTAGCCGAAAATTATTCCAAAGAATCCAGGACCTTCTCTGTTCTGAGGTTGACCCTCTCTGCTGTTGTTATTTATTAAGGATTCTGCTTCAGGCTCTTCTTGGGAATCAATCCTCTCGTTATAATCGTAGTCCTGATCTCTATGTTGAGCAGGAGATATGTTTTCCGCTTCCATTAAATAATTATTAGGGATACAATATTTTTAGAAAATATGGGGTTTTGGGGTTTTGGGGTTTTGGGGTTTTGGGGTTTTGGGGTTTTGGGG